CACCACTACACATACGGACGTCATGTGACAGTTGAATCTGATCACAAACCCCTCGAATCTATTACAAAGAAGCCAGTCTCATCAGCCAGCCCACGAATCAAACGTATGTTATTAAAGATTCAACCCTACGACTACACAGTCAACTATGTTCCTGGCAAGAAAATACCTGTCCCAGACATGCTCTCCAGATCACCACTCCCAGGGGCAGAAATACCTAATCTCGATGTGAGCATCGGATCACTTGCTCACATGACAACTAGCCGTCTGGGGAAGGTCAAAGCGGCAACGCTTCTTGACCCATTACTTCAAAACCTCACTCGTAATTGTGAACCTAGCCTTCACCAATTTTGGAACTTTCGTRATGAAATTTCAATAATTGATGGCATTCTCATGAAAGGTGATCGTATAATCATACCTGAAACGTGTCAAGAAGAAATTCTTCGTCAGATTCACACTGGACATCAAGGCATTGAGAAATGCAGGCTCCGTGCCAGACGAGCCGTCTACTGGTGTAAAATCGACAAAGATATTGAGGATATCGTCAAGAGATGCCCTACATGCCAACACCACCAAGTCTCCAACTGGAAAGAGACTATCATTCAACAAGAAGCTCTCAGACCATGGGAAGTTGTTTCAACAGACTTGTTCTACTGGAACAATGCAAATTACTTGTTAACCATTGACAACTTCTCTTCATATTTTGTTCTGAGAAAACTATCATCAAATCGCTCATCAGATGTGATCAACAAGCTCAAAGTTATATTCTCAGAGTTTGGCATACCACACAAGGTTATAAGCGACAATGGACCACAATACTCTTCGCAAGAGTTTGCTAACTTCAGTACCGAATATGGATTTGAACATTCAACAAGCAGTCCACACTATCACCAAGCAAATGGCAAAGTTGAACGTTTTGTTGCCACTGTAAAGAACACTCTACAAAAATGTAATGAAACAAGAGAAGACCCAGCGATGGCACTCCTAGCTGTTCGTAACACTCCAATTGCCTCCAATCTACCTTCGCCAGCACAACTCATGTTTCAACGCCAAATTGATGATGGACTTCTATTAAAGTCTTCTACTCATGACAACTCATCTGAAATTCTCACTCAACACAGGCAACGCCATATCCAACAATACAACAGCAAAGCACATGACAAGCCAGACCTTGAAATTGGCCAAAGTGTTCGCATACAAAACCCTACTACCAAACTATGGGACCCAGCTATTGTCACACAAAAGCTATTAGAGCCAAGATCTTATGAAGTGGAAGCCAGCAATGGAGCAACTTATCGCCGTAACAGAAGGCACATAAACACTWCAGGAGACGTCTTTACAAAGAAGGAACCACCGACAGATGATACACAAGAACCACCACCAGATGCCAACCCCATTTTATCGGCTCAAGATGTTCCACCTGGAGCCACTATTACCCGATCAGGACGCATTAGCAAACCACCAAAGAAACTTGATTGTTGAACTTTATTTCAAACATTTATATCCTTGTTACATTGTTTAGTTATTCATATTTTTGTTGGACTTGTCAAATTATCAAGAACCTTAAAAAAGGAAGGAGGATGTTATGATATACATAATTATATGCATAGTTATAATGACGTAATCCTGTAAACCAGTCATGCGAATYAGTCAATAAACATGGCGCTCGACCACTTCAACAAAAGCCTCCTCTTTAACTTGAATAGGAGACCGATAGTGCATTTCAGTCTAGGAATAGATTATTTTTAGTGCTGAACGTTTTCTAAAATAGCTATATACATTCCAACGGAACAGTCGTTTGCAGATAAGAAATCATAAATTACAGAACCTGTGCCCAAACATGTGAAGAAAGATACTTTAAAAATAGTGGGAACTAGCGGTAAACTGGTGTGAGCTGCGTCGGTGTTTCTAAAGAAACAGTTATGTAAAAAGATAAATTTAACACCGTAAAAAGTATGTGGAATAACTTACTGACGTTTCGGATGTTAATCCTTCGTCGGAGTAAAGAGAGAGAACTAGGTATAGTGTGAGTTTATATAGTAAGASTAACAAAGAGAATAGACCAATAGGAGCAAGGTAGGCATGGTGACGAGAAATAAACAAAAAAGCAAAGGAAGTGTTAGACAAAAGAACAATAAAAAGGTGCTAAAAAGGAAACAAAAGAATTAAAACTTTGTAATTTGTTGTATGTCGGTGAGACTGGCCGTCGTCTTGGCGATCGTATCTGTGAACATCTTCGTAGTATTCGTAAGAATGATCTTGATAAGCCTGTTTCCCGCCATTTTAACTTACCCAACCATTCTATTTCTAACTTTATTGTTTTTGGTTTGTCTTTGATTAGCGGCAATAATGATTGTCGCAAAACCAAAGAAATGCGGCTCATTCACCAATTGGGCACTTATAATCCCCATGGGTTGAATGAACGCTTTGTTTTCAGATAAGTTTTAATTCTTTTGTTTCCTTTTTAGMAMCTTTATTGTTCTTTTGTCTAACACTTCCTYTGCTTTTTTGTTTATTTCTCGTCAMMATGCCTACCTTGCTCCTATTGGTCTATTCTCTTTGTTACTCTTACTATATAAACTCACACTATACCTAGTTCTCTCTCTTTACTCCGACGAAGGATTAAYATCTGAAACGTCAGTAAGTTATTCCACATACYTTTTTACGGTGTTAAATTTATCTTTTTACATAACTGTTTCTTTAAAAATAGGTTAATGATGAGAACGATATTTTCATACTTATTTTCTCAAGTTTACTGTTTAACTTAAGCAACTTAACTTCATCGACTGCATATTTTTCATTTAATGATAGATGTTACTCTTGTTGTGCTATTTGTATACTCCTTTTCGATCTCTCTCATTTTGAAAGAATAAATGATCCTTCTGCTATTCTGACATAAATAAATATTTTTTAGGCATAATCTACTCATACTCGGCATATTTGAATAATTGCTTAATRATATTATAAACATCAATTTTAGACACGAACGTACTGAAGAGGGAACCTACCAAAAACCGCTTTCCGTGACGCTACATTTTCCTGAGACTGAACACCAACTTATACCGGAAAAAAWTCTTCTCTGCAAGAAGTACTTGGAAGAAAATGAACCACGACAGGTGAGACAGAAGAGCGCACGAGTCTCAAAAACTAATTAGTCGTTTTGCATGAAACTGTCGCATGGTACTAAATCCGCCATGCCTGATGTCAAAATTCCCTATGCGATGTTCAAAACAAAAAAGTCAAGTTTGACGTTCTTTTGCCATCCAGTGTGGCGGTCTTAGTACCATGTGACCTTTTCATGCAAAAGTACTATTTCATTTTCGCGACCTGCAGCTCACATTAATTTCAAGCATATGATTTTATGCAATACGTCCTTTCKTTGATAAAGTCACTCGTTTATAATAAGGCCAAACTTAAGGCAGGGTAAACCAAGGKTTWWTTYYTTYCSRWTTTTTTTGGCATGAAATTTGATACGTGATGTTTGACATTTATACTATCCATTTAGGCTAATGCTGAWTTCCAAAACAACAGTGAAATCAGCGAGAGTAAGTGTAACACCATTGTTCGTTCTTGATTTCTTTTTACCTTGAACGTAGTAGAACCTTTTTCTAAAATATTCATGTAACACTTTCTCTCAGAGCAACACTCTGGTCACTGGAAAGACGATCCAGATTCGAGCGATGTGTACAGAATGAAAAGCAACCCCAGAGGATTGATGGTCATCATTAACATCCAGAAATTTGATGTTGATCCTACACTTGAAAACCGAGAGGAGCTCATGAAAGAATTGACCGAGCGCAAAGGTTCTGAGAGGGATGTTGATAAACTAACTGATCTTTTCAGTGGAAAGCTAAATTTCAAAGTCTGCACCATCATAGACAAACCAAGAATTGTACTTTTGAGAGAACTGCGAAGTTTTGCTGAAGACTCTGCCTACAAAGATTACGACTGTCTTACAGTGTGCATCATGAGTCATGGAAAAGACGACAAATTCTACGCATACGATGGAAACACGGTCAAAGTCTCAGCTGTTTACAACATGTTCTCCAACTCGAGGTGTGTGGTTTTTCGCTCCAAGCCAAAGCTGTTTTTCATACAAGCATGCCGTGGACAAAGGGGCAGTGGGAAAGTCGTAATGGATGGAATGGATAGGGCATCAGTAGAATCTTCAGCACAGCATCCACCTGCAGAGAGCAAAGATCTTGATATGGCAGACATGCTCATCGCTTACTCTAGTTTTGAAGATTATATTTCATACCGACACGCGAAAGAAGGAAGCTGTTTCATCCAAAGCTTGGTTCGATTTTTCCGAGAATATGCAGATTCGGAACATGTCGAGGAGATATTGACAAGAGTTAAAAAGGAAGTTCACGGGCTTGTACAAGAGACATCGCAAGGCCGAACACAAGTCCCAGCTCCTGTATCAACACTCCTCAAAAAACTGTATTTCTGGCCAGGAATGGATTTTAATAAGTGATCTAAGCATAGTTAACTATGATCTAAGGAATACATAGATGTAAAAATGGTGAGCTCTAGAAAACCTAAACTTTACTCACATTCGGAGGACGTTTAGGATTCAGCGAGGAAGACCTTGAT